CCTTACCTATAAGGTTTATGGAGTTGTAGATATTGAAATGATCTTTCTAGAACTCTCTTAGGGTCAACTTAGTGTCTGTGGTCACTTCAAAGCACTTTTCAAACACTGCTTTTGTGTATAGAGTTTTTTGAAGTTAGAAATGACCTGCTGGGCCATGGGCTGGAGGAGAGGAGTGGTGTTAGGAGGCAAAAACTTCACTGTGATGAAACTGTAGTCCCTAGACAGTAGATCTACCAAGTTTGGAGGATGTGCAGGAGCATTGTCCATTAACAGGAGGCACTTGAGTGACAAATTATTTTCTAGGAGGTATTTTCTCACACTGGGGCCAAACACTTCATGGACCCACTCTTTGAAAATTTGCCTTGTGACCCATGCCTTATTATTTGCTTTCCACAAGACACATAACTTGTTCTTAATGACACTGTTTTTCTTAAGCACCCTGGGATTTTCTGAGTAATACATAAGTAAAGGCTTCACTTTAAAATCACCACTAGCATTAGCACAGAACAAAAGAGTTAGCCTGTCTTTCATAGGCTTGTGTCCTGGGAGTGCATTTTCCTCCTGTGTGATGTAGGTCCTCTTTGGCATTTTCTTCCAAAACAGACCTGTTTCATCACAGTTGAACACTTGTTGGGGTTTTAATTTTTCAGTGTCTACGTACCCCTTAAGCTCCTGGACAAACTTCTCAGCCACTCGTTTGTCTGAACTGGCTGCCTCACCATGCCTTACAACATTATGTATGCCACTATGCTTCTTAAATCTTTCAAACCAGCCTTTGCTGGCCTTAAATTCACTGGTTCCAGGAGTTTTCTGTACCAGGTCGGCATGCAACTTCCTTGCCTTTTCACAAATAATCGTCTCCGAAACATTATCACCTGCCATCTCTTTATCCGTGATCCACACCAACAACAACTTCTCAACCTGATCGACTGTGGTCTATTTTTGGTTAGCATATCAACATCTTTTGCCACATCAGCTTCCTTGATTTGTTCTTTCTTTGCCAGGATAGAAGCGATGGTTGACTTGTTTTTGCCATACATCCTGGCAAGCTCAACAAGTCTCACACCACTCTCATATTTTTTAATTATTTCCTTCTTCAAGTCTATGGTGTTTCTCACTTTCTTTACCACAGGGGTACCACTAGCAAGTTTCTTTGGGCCCATGGTAGCTTCTTTCACAGTCGCACAAGCACTAAACAATAAATTAACAGTGAAATGTTTGAATGTGCGCGCAGGTTAGTGTTCACTCAAGCATCAACAAAGCCAGACTGCTCACAACGCCTGCGCGGGGATGCGGACAGAGTGGGCTGGTGGACAGGTCTGGTACCCGGCAGTTCGAAAGACGGGTGGAGTTTGATACTCTGAACAAAATTGTTCAAGAAAAGCAGTCGAAACTTGCAATGTTCGATAGTCGGTAAATTCGAAACTCATGGGTCCACTGTACATAGTGTAAATTACCTAGGATAACCCAAAATATCCAGACAAAGTGCTATACTGTGCTTGTAGATTTAAGGCATAATAATCATGACTGGCAAGTAATATGCATTTTCACTTCATCAGGAATCAGATGTGATGACTCTGCATCCTGTTGGTTCATGAGCCGCTCTCTGAGACAAGAGAGACAAGCAGACAGAAAGACAGACACACACAGGCAGACAGAAAAGCAGAGACACACAGGCAGACAGAAAGACAGACACACAGGCAGACAGAAAGACAGATAAGCAGACATAGCTAGATAGACAGACAGACATGTTTATGTGTAACAGTGAAAAATTAAAGCCAGGGTTCCATGCAACAGTTCACAATCATCAAATGTCACTCCACTGCTGCCCTGTCAGCAGTTTAGCGACACTTGTCTTAACACCATGCGTCAAGGAGTTTCTTACATACTCCAGCATGTCTAAAACATTGCTGGGACCTACAAATACTTTGTATATATTCCTAGATAATAGCAAATGACCAAGGCAGGTGTAAATGTTCACTTGTCAGTGTGTTTGTGACTATTTGAGTACAATTTCAGTACCTAATATTAGTGTCAGAACAAAGATTGGCTATGAAATCACAAGAACTACTATAATTTGTAATTAACAGAGCATAAAAATTATATAAAATAATATAAAAACAAGAAAAAAAAAAGGTATATCGGCAACACTTCTGCAAGCGGGAGGATTCCATGTTGCCATCAGGTGAGCATCCAGCATCAACTTTGCGGTCTTATATCTCAGTAAGTACTGGTCCTAAATTTTTTTTTGGGTCTTATTACACACAGAAAATTGCCCACTTAAATTAAAAATATTCAGAGCATTGGGCAAGAGAACGTAAATCTATGTTTGGACAGTTAATGTGTTGATGTGCCTCATTGATTATTATTGAGTATTATTATTATCATTATTAACCCTTTCAGGGTCCATGCCATAGTTCTACGGCTTTGAGTTGAGGGTCCAAACTGTAGTTCTACGCCATGAGCTCAGCTCACTCAGATAAGCTCTGAGTGGTAAATTTTGGCCTAGATATGAGAGCATACATCTATGTGGAAGTGTGCACCACATAAAACAAATCCTGCAGCACACAGTGCATAATGAGAGAAAAAAACCGAGACTGTAATTTTCGATTAAAACAGCGACTTTGCAGTTTAGTTTTGTATATTTTTTATAGTTGTATTTGTGATTTTGTGGTCTCATTTGATAGAATGGAAGATATATTACAGAAATAGAGATGATTTTGATTGGTTTTAGTACTGGAAATGGCTTGAAACCGAGCTCAAAGTAGTGGAAATGTTAAATTTTTGCCGACATTCAAGAGTAAACAAATGACCTCGCACATCTAATACGTGCCAGCTGGTGGGTCTATTATACGTTCACAAATGTGGTGATATTATTTATACAATTATTACAATATTGCATAACAGTAAATCTTCCATGTTTTGGTTTGAATAAAAATTCATTATATGAAAAAAATCAAAATGGAATAAATTTGTAAAGCATGAGAATGTAACTAATGAATAGAGGAAATGTTAGTTTAGTGCCAGGAATGCCTGCATTGTTTATTCTGGACCCTGTTTTTAAATTGGAATATTTTGAACTTTCATTAAATTGGCCAAATTACCAATTTTCGGTCACTTTATTTTGTAGTTGAAACAGCTGACTGGGTGATTTCTTGTGCGCAATTGAGAGAATAGAAGTAATACTAGCAAAATAGCTAAGAATTTGGTTGACTGGAATAATGTAATTGGCCTAAAATGGGAGTCAAAGTCGGCAAAATCGCCAATGCTTAAATATCGCTGAAACATCAAAATTTGTGAGAAAATAATTTTGTCAGTTTTCCATCAAATTTCGTACTTTTTATTTTATTACTTTCAGAAAAAGATTCTCTACCATTTCATAAGAAAAAATAACAAAATTTTTTTTTGAAAATTCTTGGACCCTGGTGCACACTTTGAAATTTGTCCTCTGGACCCTGAAAGGGTTAACATGGTGTCTCGAGACATAAGACACTCCTACTGATTTTAATATGTACCTTCACACCAGCACAGTACAGTCTCTCCTCACTTTACGACGTACTCGTTTACCGACGACTCAGACTTGCGACGGGCTCTCTGACCAGTATGCATACCTGAATACTGTACATTAGAGCTGATTTCCTCTTTTCTGTTTATTTCAGTATACAGTACACTCTTGTATGAACATTTAAAAATATACCAGAAATGTTATAATTGGTTGACACAAGCCCACCGTGATTAAAGTATGCTCCTCACTTAGCGCTGAATTCATTTACCGATGAGGTCTCAGGAATGGAACTCCGTCGTTAAGTAAGGAGTGGCTGTATGTAAGTTTATTTAGGTACAGGTAAACATAAGTATAATTATCAGTGTATAGCCTCTCCTCACTTAACAACGGAGTTCCATTCCTAATACCGCATCGATAAACGAATTCATCCCTAAACAAGGAGCATACTATAATGGTAGTGGGTTTACGTCAACTATCTTTGATATTACTTTAATGTCACCCTTGTACCATTTATAAAATTTTTAGTATATTTTTAAATGTTTATACAGTAGTGTACTGTATATTGTAATAAACAGAATAGAGGAAATCAGTTCTAATATACATTATATAGGTAGGCATACTGATCAGAGAGTCCATTGTAAGGCCGAATCGTCGGTAAAAGAGTATGTCGCTAAGTGAGGAGAGGCTGTAAAGATGAAATATGAAATAATTTTAAAACACTTGAAATTCTGAAAGTTTCCAGACATAATGGAGAGATGCAGAGCTCACAGAGAGTGTAAATGAACTGGATGGAGTGGGGTGCGGTGATTGTATTAGAAAGTCAGATGGGGGGAGCTGTATAGCGAGTTTTGATCATACTAATTTGAAATGTCCGTACTAACCGTAAAGTGAAACGCTGTAAAGCAGGGCCCTACTGTATATAGAGTATGTGGGCAGTTACCAGTGACGTAGTCCTGTGGTTGAGTATTTGCATTTGGGATTTTGCTTGCTAGTTTTGATCCTATAGTAGAAAAGAAGACATTAAGTTTGTTGGTAGTGTCTATAGACTGTATGTGTGGTTTGTCTGGTTTCACTAAGTTAATCTCTCTGTTTCTGGCCAGTTTTCTAGAGCCCAAAATTTCAGAGAGAGTTTTCCAGGTCTTTTTCATATCATCTTTTATTTCATTAAATCTGTTACATAATACATTTGTTTGGACTTCTGTATTAGATTAGTAAGTATTGAGGTGTATTGTTTAGTTAGTTCTTTTGTTATTAGACCCTATCTGAATTGTTTTTCTTATAGATTTTTTTATCAATGGATTTAAGTACAGTCTGTATATTATTTGTAAGGCATTGAAATCACCAAATTGAAACTAAACAAATCATCTTGAGCACATTGAAAATAAGTAAATGCAGCACACATGGCAGCATGATTCAATATTTGTGTGTTTGAACAATCGGCTGCCAGTCGAATACCCTCAGCATTGTTTAAAATATATGTTTTGCATGTTTACAGTTGATCTCGGATGCAGGCTTCCAAGGAGAGATCACCAGTATATCAACAGCAGCACAACAAATCGAGGTCTTTTCAAGAATTCTCAAGACATCTACATCCAATTTCCTTCAATCACCAGAAGATAACAGACACAAATCTGTAGTTGAGTTTGCTGTGAGTTGAACTTCAGTAATGATCTAAAGAATTTATGCAACAGTATCATGTTAAGTACTGTATTATGCAGGCTTACATATGATCATGTAAATAAGGCATCATGTGGGGCTCCAACCAGAGTTTTCTATGTTAAATCCAATGACTGTTTTTACAGTTAGGGTTAAGTTCACTTCCCTTCAACAAGGTGCTGTTATGCTGGTGAAAGGCCCTTGATTCAAGGAATTGAGAATATATCCTCTCTTTGCTTTGATCAAATCCTTCACATTTCCCAGGCTTTGTATGACCCTTATGGTAAGGCTCTATTAAATCAAACTCAAAATGAAAATCTTTATTTATTTTAAATATACATGGAAGTTACAGTGAATGGGTTTACAGTTTGGATACAGTTATGTAAATACATGATCTTGTATATTCAGAAGAAAACCACTTATTATGAGAAGTATTTCAGGCAAACTAATTTTTGATCTTACACTTCAGCACAAATTTATGCATTTCAAGCTAATGTTCTCTTTTACTTCCTATTCTAATTGATAAATATGTTTATACAGTATACTGACTTAATATTATCTACTGTATATGATAAACTTGTTCATTTGTTTTAGTACTGTATTATGCAAAGCATTTTTTCAAAGAAAGAATGAAAGAATGATTGATGGTGAAAGTATTTTTTTAATCACTCTACCTCAATAGGAGACTTGGACACATTCTAATAGGGTTTCTTATGTATTAAATTCATTTTAATCCATCTTCCACATGAATAGTAAAGCAGGTATACAAAAACCAATTAGCTATCTAGTATATTATTTCTTAAAGTTAATAAAAATATTTATTTAAATGCCTCATGATTAGATTTTCTTTTGTAATACTGATAATAATTTTCTAATATTGGAAAATATCTTACAGAAAATGGTGTGTCATGGGCAGCACACTTACATCTATGCCCAAGTGATGCTGCAGATTCTTTCACAGGAAACAAAGGGAGGCAATAATATTCGCCGCTTACAACAAGAAATCAGTAAATATGCTATTAACAAGTAGGTATGACTGGAAGACAAAATGGTTACAACTAAGGTAACGAGACTATGAATGGTTATGTATACTGATAATCAATTTAGGTAAATGGATACATGTCCAAGTTTGAATATTAAAAAAATAGTATAAAATACTGACAAATTGTTAGGTAAGACACACATGCAACAGTTTGGTATCTTTATTACGAAGCGTTTTACCTACACAGTAGGCTTCTTCTATCGAGTACAGAAAATTTCGTAGAAGCAGAAGAGATGTGAAGACGATGTAATCAGTCCATTACCCTTGAAGACGTAGTTTTGATGTGGTCAGTCCCTCAGCCTAGAGAAGAGTATTTTCTGTACTTGGCTGAAGAAGCCTACTGCACAGGGAAAACATTTCAAAATAAAGATACCTAACTGTTGCATATGTCTTACTTAACAGACTGTCGGTATTTTATACCATTTTAATATTGACTGTGTCAGACACTGCAACACAATGGTATCTTGGTACAGAACAGAAAACACCTTGGACAAATGGTTTTTAGGACTTGATATCCCGTTGGAGTGTGAGCAAACATTTATGAAAGGATTCAGGAAAACTGGCAGGCCAAACTTGAGTCCTGGAGATGGGAAGTACAGTGCCTGTACTCTGAAGGAGGGGTGTTAATGTTGCAGTTATATAACTGTAGTGTAAGTGCACCTCTGGCAAGACAGTGATAGAATGAATGATGAAAGTTTTTCTTTTTGGGGCCACCCTGCCTTGGTGGGAAATGGCTGTGTTAATAAAAAAATAAAAATTAACTTTTTATGATTGTCCAGTAGTCTCCTGAACTAGCAGACTTGGTCCACTAATGCAGAAGACAACCAGACTCTAAGAATATGGGTATTGTAACCTGTAGTACTATAGTACAGTGCAGCCTCTCCTCACTTAGCAACGTACTCGTTTACCAACTACCCAAACTTATGACTGGCTGTCTGACCAGCATGCATACCTAAATAATGTATATTAGAGCTGATTTTTTTCTATTCTGTGTATTACAATATACACTACACTATAAACATTTAAAAATATACTAAAAATGTTATAAATGATTCAAAGGTGACAGTAAAACAATATCAAAGATGGTTTACACAAACCCATTATCATTATAGTATGCTCCTTGCTTAGTGACGAATTCGTTTACTGACGTGGTCTTAGGAACGGAACTCTGTCATTAAGTGAGGAGAGGATATTGTACTGTATAGTTGTTTTAAAGTACTGTACATATTTTGCAGTACTGTAATAAGTGTGGGTGTGAGTAGTGTGCAACAGACTCGGTATAATGTTTCAGAAAGTGTGAGTGGCTGTTTGGGCAGGGAGTGTTAGAGGGAGAGGTGGGGGGGACTATGAAAGAAGGCGAATATGGGTGGGTGAGAGAGAGGGTAGGCACAAAGAGTGTGTGAGGAGTGGGCATTAGGAGTGTGTGTGAGGGGTGGGTATGAGAGGGTGAGCAGGAGAGAGCACATGAAGGGGTATTGGTAAATGTGAAGGTGGATGGGTGAGGGGTTGGTATGAGAGATGGGTATGAGGGATGGTGCATGAGAGAGGATGGGTTATAAAGGGTTGGAGTGAGAGGTGGGTTTGAGTGTATGTGAGTGAGTATGTGGGCAAATGTGAGAGGGTGGATAGATAGGTGTGTGAATGTGAGATGGGTTGGTGAGTGGGTGTGAGAGAGTGTACTGAAGTGAGTTGACAGATGAATGAACATGTCTTAAACAGGATCATCTCTCCTGGGCTCCCACACCCACCCATCCACCACCTCACTGCCTTATCAACAACACCAAGACCCCTCCACATTCTCTCCTGCCTGCCACTCAACAACTAGCACAACATATATCATAAATCTACAGTACAGATCATCAGCAATCTCTTCAAAAAGAAAAAAATATTTGAGCTCTTGCTTTTGTCATGGTCATTGCAGAATTAAGCCTCGTAATGATGTCTTTTTTGTTTCCTCAGTGGCCTTAATGTTACTCCAATCCAGCTGGCTCTCAATGGTGCCATGGCCCACCCAAGAGCAGCCCAAGCACTGGCACCCATGCTTGCTCGTAACGCTCTCAACCCAGCTGACATAACTGTATTGTTTAAGCTCTACAGTGCCGGAGACCCACCACCAGTTGACCTTATACGCATCCCACAGTTATTAGGTAAGTTAATGGTTATATTACCTAGACTCTGCCGTAACTGCTACTTTTTCTTTATATGTGTAATACCATCTAAAGTCTGGTTCCATTAACCCTTAAACTGTCCAAACAAATTTACGTTCACATGCGTAGTGCTCCAAAAGTAGATCTACGTTTTTTTACATATTTTCAAATATAACAAAAAAAAAATGTAGATCAAAGTTTTATTTACATGTTTTCAAATGTAAAGAAAAAAAGATCTACATTTTTTTACATACTTTCAAATGTTGAAAAATGTAGATCTACGTTTGGACAGTTTAAGGGTTAAACAAGTAGGTATATCTCACTTTAAACCCATTTCAGTTCTTTATAGAACTTTCCTTGCTTGAATCTGCTTTGATATTTTGCATCTTTCTTTTTCTCATTTCCATAAGAATACTTTAGGGCTTTTTTTATCTATAATTTTTAAATTTTAATACCCTTAGTCCACAAGGTAGGAAGATAATCATGTATGTGTTAATTTTTGTGTGGTTGGATGTAAAAGAAAGTTATTGTTTGATCTGCTTAGGTGCATTGTGCTTGTCAGAAGGTCAGAATGAAGTTATACAACTAGGCGGCTTCATTAATCCAATATTTGTACCAGCAAAAACATATCTGTAATGAAAAACATGTATTCCAGGCTCCAGGAGTAGAAAGATTTGAAAATCATCAAAGATATATCCAAGGTAAGGTAGGTTAAAAGGTGGTATGGAATCACCAAGGGTATAATTCAGAGGGCTGAGGAGGGGTTGTTGAAGTGGCTTGGGATTGTAGAGAGGATGGAGAGGGATAGGTTGATGAGGGTGACAAATCTAGGGTGGAAATTTTAGTGGGGAGGGGGGGGTAAAAGAGGCTTTTGAGTTTTAGGGGCTTGAGTATCCAGTAGGCTTGTGTGAGTGTGCTTTTAGTGAATAGACACAAGTGGTTTTTAATAGATGGGCTGTCGGAGTGTGAGCAAGGTAACTTTTATGAAAGAATTCAGGGAAACCAGTTAACTGGACTTGAGTTCTGAAGGTGGGAAGGGCAGTGTCTACACTCAGGAGGAGTGGTGGGAATGTTGCAGTCAGTGGGTAACTGAATTGTTGGATTGTAATGTCAGCACACTTCTGATTGAATGAATGATGGTGAATGTGTTTTCTTCTTTGGGTCACCCTGTCTTAGTGGGAAATGGTTACCAAAATAAACTTTTTGTTTTTATAAAAAGACTGTAATCAATCAAACAGTTATGCAGCACAACTGTTCTTGTGTTTACAATTTGCCTGTTAACCTTGGAGAGAGAGAGATAGATAGATAGATATTGATTGATTTAATACATGTTGACATTCTGAGCCTAATATGCCTATACTTGTGGAAAGTGGGAAGAGGGAAAAGTGAGAAGGGGAAGAAGGATTAAAGAGGGAAGAGGTGATAGTTTTAGTATAGTATCTGGCACAGTTGTTGCACAGATGTGGCTTGGTAAGCAGGGTACACATCAGCAAGCACTAGCTTATCAGCAGCACCCAGAATTTTTGCTGGTGACTAAATTTTATAAACCACTTGGAGCCATTAGGGAACATTTTTTATCCAAATTTTATAGTGTTTATCAGTGCAAAGTTTTTGCACTGATGTTTCAACCCCTTCACTGTTTCTTATGTAGATCTACATCATTGAGGCCAGTGTCACTTACATAGATCTATGTTTTGATTATACCATCCTCAAATGTGCTGTAAGCAGTAAATTTTCCCTTAGACATGTGTGAATGGGTCTGCATGTTGGTTATGCACAGTATACATATAATCCTGCCCCATGCAGTGCATGATGAGAACACCAAACCTCTGACCTTGTGTTGGGTTAAAATAGAGATTTGATACATTTTCACAGTTTTATTACTGTTTCTTGGTGCCATTTGATAGATTGGAAATAACATACAGTGAAATGGAGATGGTTTTCATTGGTTTCAGACTGGAAATGGCCTGAAATAGGCCTAAAGATTAAGCTGTCATATCTGAGCGCCTCTGCAAAGACAGTGATTATGTATGAATGATGGTGAGTGTTGAATGATGATGAATGTTTTTTCTTTCTTTTTGGGTCAGCCTGCCTCAGTGGAAAATGGCCAACATGTTAAAAAAAAAAAAATGATAATTTTCTTGGGGAAGGCCCCACAATTTCTTTTGTGGGTTTTTACTAGTTCTGTTTCAATTATTTGGATAGTCTAAATTATGACCAGTTATTCTTGGTTATATTTTATTAGCTGAGAAATAGTGTAAAACTTGATTTTCTGTATGCTGATGTTTTCAAAATGGAGATGCCTGGGGATTTGATTAACAAAGAGAAGATATGTTGCTTTAGTAGCTGGAATGTCTACACTGTTTATTTTGTACTCAGTTTTTAAATGGAAATTTGTTGAATTTTTATAAAATTGGCAAAATTATTGACTTCTGTATGCTTTATAGGGTAATTTTGAAAGTGTAATGGGCAGGTTTTTGTACTCATTGACAGAACAGAAGTTATACTAGCAAATAGCTAGGAACTGGATTGGTTTGAGCAATGAATTAGCCTGCCTAAAATAAGCCTCAAAGTGGGCAAAATCGCAGTTGCATAAAGTGCTCCCTGATCTCCAATTTTGCACCTGTGTAATTCCATAAGGTTTCCATCATTTTTTATTTTTCATGCCATCATCACTGGAAGAAGATTCTCAGCCATTTCAGGAGATTTTTATTTATTTTTTAAATTGTGACACTGATGGAACTTCTAATTTCGGGGGGCCACGACAGTGAACGGGGTAAACAAAATGGTGAAATCTGCCAATAGAGTATGTTTTCTCATGAAATGTTGTGAAGCTCTTAAAAGCTAATGGTTATCAAACCAAATCAAATTATTACTTTGGGATATAATTTCCTTAAAACCTATCATACTTACTTTGCTAAAAGAATGATTCAGTCATTGAGGTACACATCTAGAGTTTGTTTAGAGTTTTGTTCATCTGAGGTTATTTGATATTATAGTATTGCTATTGTGAAATAATCAGATATTGTAAATGTGACTTTTATTCCAACCAGAGCTGCTGATAGATGCTTTGTTTAAGCCAGGGAACAAGGTGAATCAAGAACACAAAGCTAAGTACTTCTACCTCCTGGGTTACAGTGCAAGTGTTTATGAAACCCCAAAGAAAGGCAACAGACCTAGACAGGTAATGAATAAGTAGTTCTTTTGCTCTAGCATACTGTTGACTGTTTCTGTAATGATCTGTTAGCATGTGCTAATACAATTTATTTTAACAAAAAAAGGCACAATACCGTGACTGGAACGATACACAAATAACCCGCACATAGAAGAGAGGAGCTTACGACGACGTTTCGGTCCAACTTGGACCATTTACAAAGTCACACTAAGTAGTAGTAGTAGTGGTAGTAGTAGTAGTAGTGGTGGTAGTAGTAGTAGTGGTAGTAGTAGTAGTAGTAGTAGTAGTAGTAGTAGTGGTAGTAGTAGTAGTAGTAATAAAGTAGTAGTAGTAGTATTAATAAAGGGGATATTAACAAGGTCTTGAGGATATCTCTCCAAGAGAGAACCCGCAGTAATGGATTTAAATTAGATAAGTTTAGATTTAGAAAGGACATAGGAAAGTATTGGTTTGGAAATAGGGTAGTTGATGAGTGGAACAGTCTACCTAGTTGGGTTATTGAGGCTAGGACTTTGGGTAGTTTCAAATTTAGGTTGGATAAGTACATGAGTGGGAGGGGTTGGATTTGAGTGGGACTTTCACATCGGAGCTTGTTTCTTGGGTGGCATTGAAAGTTGGGTTGGTCAAATGTTTGTTAGTGGGATGAATTGTAAAGGACCTGCCTAGTATGGGCCAAGAGGCCTGCTGCAGTGCTCCTCCTTTCTTATGTTCTTATGTTCTTAGTGGTAGTAGTAGTAGTAGTGGTGGTAGTAGTAGTAGTAGTAGTAGTAGTAGTGGTAGTAGTAGTAGTAGTGGTAGTAGTAGTAGTAGTAGTAGTGGTAGTAGTAGTGGTAGTAGTAGTAGTAGTGGTAGTAGTAGTAGTAGTGGTAGTAGTAGTGGTAGTAGTAGTGGTAGTAGTAGTAGTAGTAGTAGTAGTAGTAGTAGTAGTAGTAGTAGTAGTAGTAGTAGTAGTGGTAGTAGTAGTGGTAGTAGTAGTAGTAGTGGTAGTAGTAGTAGTAGTGGTAGTGGTAGTAGTAGTGGTAGTAGTAGTAGTAGTGGTAGTAGTAGTAGTAGTGGTAGTAGTAGTAGTAGTGGTAGTAGTAGTAGTAGTGGTAGTAGCAGTAGTAGTGGTAGTAGTAGTAGTGGTAGTAGTAGTAGTGGTAGTAGTAGTAGTAGTGGTAGTAGTAGTAGTAGTGGTAGTAGTAGTAGTAGTGGTAGTAGTAGTAGTAGTGGTAGTAGTAGTATTAGTAGTAGTAGTAGTAGTAGTAGTAGTAGTAGTGGTAGTAGTAGTAGTATTGGTAGTAGTAGTAGTGTGTAGTAGTAGTAGTGGTAGTTGTGGTAGCAGTGGTAGTAGTACCAGTTGTAGTGATAGTAGTAGTAGTAGTAGTGGTAGTAGTAGTAGTAGTAGTGGTAGTAGTAGTAGTAGTAGTAGTAGTAGTGTGTAGTAGTAGTAGTAGTAGTAGTGGTAGTAGTAGTAGTAGTAGTAGTAGTAGTAGTAGTAGTAGTAGTAGAGATGGAAGGAAGAAGCAATGGGGAAGAAAGGAGGAGGAGCCAGTCAAATACAAAGAAAGGGAAGCACTGCAAGGGAACTAGGTGCCCACAGAGGAAGAGCAAGAACACAGAGGTGGGGGGAGGGAAAAATAATGAAATAAATAATGAAGGAACAGAAACACAAGACAGAAGAAAGAAAGACAACCCAGAAAAAAAAGGAAAGAGGAAAGGGGGAAGAGGGAGAAGAAGAAAAAGGAGGAATCAGGTTAAGTCATGGATGTTTTGAAGCTTGGAGCATTTTACAATGTAGTGGGAGAGGAAGGCATCTACAGAGACAAAGGCAGGACTAAGATTCATACAAGGAAAGTTGTGTATTAGGGAGGATTCAACAAGATGGCGACTGTTAAAGTTGGAAGTAGGGAAGACAATTTTAGCAGAAGACCAGTTTATAGGATGGCTCTGATCTCTGACGTGACAGAAAAGAGCATTGTTAGTGTCAGCAAGCCTAACATTATTTTTGTGCTCCCTAAGTCTGTCAGAAAGAGAGCCAGTTTCTCCAAAGTATTGAAGAGGACAGGAGGAGCAAGCAATAGAGTAGACACCAGGAGCATCTGTAGAGGGAGGAGAGGTATGAACGAGATTAGTGCGAAGAGTGTTAGTCTGGCGGAAAGTAAGCTTGATGTCCAAGGGACGGAGAGAATTGTTGAGATTAGAAAGATCGGAAATGTAGGGAAGGCAGAGGACAGAAGAGTTCCCAGGAGTAGAGAGTTTGGGAGAGAAGAAATTACATTTAGCACGTGAGAGGGCAGAGTCTATGAAATGGGAAGGGTAGCTAAGACAGGAAAACGAATTATGAAGAGTGGAAATTTCTGCTGGAAGGAACTGAGGATCACAGATGTGGAGAGCACGGAGGAAGAGGGAAATAAGAACACTTTTCTTGACAGGGGAAGCATGATAGGAAAAGTAGTGAATGTACATGCCACTGCGCATAGGTTTGCGGTAAACGGAAAAGGAAAAACCTGTATCTGAGCGGTGGACATGGACATCAAGGAAAGGAAGCAAGGAATTAGATTCCCATTCAGCTTTAAACCTAATGGAAGGGGCAAGAGTGTTAAGAGCTTCAAGAAAAGGTTGGAAGAGACTGGAGTCATGAGGCCACAGAGCAAAGATGTCATCCACATAGCGGAGCCAGAGTGGTAGGAAGAAGAACAGTCTTGAAGTATTCCATGTAAAGATTAGCAAGGACAGGAGAGAGAGGAGAGCCCATATCGACACCGAAGGTTTGAGAATAATATTTCCCTTGGAAGGAAAAGGAGTTAGAGTCCACACAGAGGCAGATAAGATCAAGAAAGACATCAATAGGTATAGGGAGATGAAGAAACCCTTCATGGGCCTTCTCTCTAAGAAAATCAAGGACATCATCAAGAGGGACATTGGTGAAGAGGGACTCAACATCAAGACTAAGCATCTTACAGGTCGGGAGAGGGCGAACCCGTTCAATGAAGTCTTGAGAGTGACAGAGGTGGGCAGGAGAAAAAGTACCAGGAAAGGGAGTGAGGGTTTTGGCCAGCCAAGAAGCAAGAGAATAAGAGACAGAACCTCTACAGGAAATGATAGGACGTAGAGGAATATCAGGTTTATGAGTTTTGGGAAGGCCATAGAAATAGGGAAGAGAAGGACAGACGACACGAAACCGTTGAATAAGGTCAAAGTCAGGAGGACAGAGGTCGGAGAGAGTCCTTAGTTTCTTGTTGAAAGTTCTCTTGATGCGATCAAGAGGGTTGGAAACAAGAGGAGTGTAGGTACGTGAGTCAGAGAGCAAGACATCAGAAGATAGTGTGGCAATGTTAGTGTTAGATTTAAGAGAAGAAAGGGCAAGTTGGTAACGGCGCGGAAGGTGGTGGTTCTTAGAAAACAGACTATCAAGAGCAGGAAGGAGAGCGCCACGAAAAGTGGACAAGTCAGGAAGATTACGGGAGCGAGACTGACGAATATAATCAAAAGAGCTAATCAGTTCAATACCAGCGCGAGAGGTAGGCGAAGTGGCGAAGGAAAGGCCAAAACCAAGAAGTTCAAGCTCATATTGAGAGAGTGAGACAGAAGACAAGTTAGTAACACAGTCAGTGAGGGAGAATTTAGACCAAGGGCTAGCTGAGATGAGACGTTGAAGTTTATTATGTAGTTAAGAAGAATGAATTTGTGTATTCAGGCGAGCAGTGTCAAAGGCAATGGTAGAGAGAAGGTTACAGAGATCTTGTGGTAGAGTCGCAAAGAGAGCACGTTGACGCTGACGGAAGGTAAAGAAGGCATCTTCAACCTGAGACTTAGTAGAAAGAATGAGCTGTTGAAGTAGGAGACGGGCATGATCAGGAAAGGGAGTGCCCAGTGGGTTGGGTTTCAGGAAATGGGAGAAGGAAGGAGGCAGGACTTGTTCAGGAAGACAGTCACGTAGGAAGCGAAGCTGATTCTTACGACGCTGGGTAGCAATGAGAGCAGCCTCAAAAGTTCGAAAGAGGGGTTTAAAAGAAAGAAGAACATTAAAAAAGTTGAAAAGAATATGACGGGGTCCATAAAATGTAAATGTAAAATGTAAATGGTCCAAGTCGGACTGAAACGTCGTCGTAAGCTCCTCTCTTCTATGTGCGGGTTATTTGTGTACAATTTATTTTGTTTTACTATAATTTTTTAACACTGCCATTTCCAGTTAAGGCAGGCTTACCCAAAGAAGGAAACATATTCCCCCTCACTCATTTTCTAGCTACCTTTCTAAAAGCCCATGACCATCACAATATATAAAACCCACTGAATTGCAGTATCTATACCAACCATTCAGATCGCAGGCACTGTAATTCTAACCTTTGGAACTCAAATCCAGCTAACTGGTTTTACTAAATGTAATTGTGTTTCATTAATGTAGTTGCCATTTTCTTATCTATAAAGGTTTATATCATTATAATGTACTGAAATGAAATATGTAGTTAGTAAATAACAAAAAAGGCACAATATCGTGACTGGAACAATACACAAATAACCCACACATAGAAGAGAGGAGCTTACGACGACGTTTCAGTCCGACTTGGACCATTTACAAAGTCACACTAACAAAAAGGAGAGAAGGAGGGTTATATATAGGCAGGAGGTGGTAGTAGTAGTAGTAGTAGTGGAGGTAGAAGGTAGTAGTAGTAGTAGTAGGGGAGGTAGAAAGAAGGAGAAGGAGCTAGTCAAATACTAAGAAAGAGGAGCACTGCAAGGGAGCTAGGTGCCCACAGAGGGTAAGAGCAAGAACACAGAGGGGGAAAATAAATAAATAAATAAAGAAGGAACAAATACACAAGGCAGAAGAAAGACAACCCAAAGGAGAAAAAGAAAAGAGGAAAGGGGAAGAGGGAGAAGAAGAAAAAGGAGGAATCAGGTTATGTCACGGGTGTTCTGAAGTTTGGAGCATTTTACAATGTATAGTGGGAAAGGAAGGCATCAACAGAGATGAAGCCAGGACTAAGATTCATACAAGGAATCATTGTTCTATGACATTCCTACAA